ATGTCACTACAGAGACTTTTTATGCACAAGAAAGATTTTTTTTTTTTACAGTTATTAACATTCTTTTAACAAAATAAAGGTGGTGATCTTTTGATTCTATTTTCATTAGTCTAATTTATTGTGTAATTTATGTTTTTTTTGCACAGTTATGTAATTATCTCCATTATATCTCCTATGTCCATGTCTAAACAGGAAGACACCTTGTTCACCAGTATTTAAAAATAGAAAGAAAGAAAAAAATAAGTAGATGTTTTGGTTAAATTGTAATGATGTTAACTATGTTTTAGTGAAATCTGTCACTTGCACTTTAAAGGTCTTGTATTACGTTTCTTGTGAACTTTAAGTCATGTTATAATGTTGTTACCTCTTCAACACAGACCTGAAGTTGTGTTTTGTTTCATTCACACATGTTTGAGTAACTCTTTATCATTAGTTTGTCTACATCTCCACTACAGATGTTTTCAGGACAGAACAGTGCCGGTGCCACTCCCGTTCTGCTAGTGTTCACCGGTGAACGACCCACATTTTAAGTGAACCCATCATGTGTCATCGACAGGGTGTTGATGTGCCACCAAATTTAAAAACAGCAGCATGTCACAGAGAGGAAAATAACAATCATGGATCGCATCATCGACACCAGCGAGCGTCTGTACTCATACCAAATCTGCGCCAAGATCTGCTACAACATCTGCTGTGGAGAAGGCGACAGCGACGCCAAATCCAAAAATGGCACCTCACCGGGCGAACACGGATACAGCAAATATTTGGTCTCTTTCGCTGACCACTGCACAATCTTCTTGTTACTTGATTTCTCCACCATGTTCCACACACACGTTTTTTTGTTTGTTTATTTTACCGTGTGTGACCAGGATGAACCTGCCAGTGTCTACTGTGTTGTCACATTTCTCTTGGAAAAAACAAGTTTTACTTGGTTCCGGTCGGAACCAACTTTTCGGTTCCTGAACACTCTGATTTTCATTGTCAGCCAGTTCGAGATTAGGTGCGGAAACTGGCACCAGCACAGCTCTCTGTCAGCCTGAAAACACTACTTGTGATGCCATCAAGTGAACATCTCCTTTTACCTTCAGTTCAGTGGAAATGAGCAACTCCAGATCTGAAATCATCCAAATGATTCTAGTGAACGTGTGTGGAGTTTGAAAACACAGTGGAGCACATCCTGTATTACCACATGACATCACAACGTGGAATGGAGTGTTTTCAGTTTGAGAGAAGAACTCATCTTAAATATGCAGGGTTTGTGTGTTAAAGCTGCATTGTGTAACTTTTCTGGTATAAATGTTATTGGTGTGTCTGGACTGTTTCACAGTATGGCATTAAACCTTCTATCTTCACAATGACCAAACCAGAACAGGTTACAGGTCAGATCTGTGGAGAGGCGACGCCGCTCAGTCAGAAAATCGAGCTGTTTAATGTCACACTGTGGAACATTTCAGGCAGAGCAATGACATCTCCACACACAGTGCACCTTTAAACATGCGTGAATGAAACAAAACACAACTCCAGGTCGGTTTGTAATGAGGAAACGACATTAGAACGTAGATCAGAAAAGTCCATCACCTTCTCCTTGGTCTTCAGACGTTCAGCTCCATGAGGTCGATCTCTCACTCGACTCCTCCTCAGAGAATTACAGACAAGCAGAGGAGGAGGAGCGGCCGTAAACTGTGCTCAAGAAAGAATTTTATCGCAATATCTCTGTAATGTAGCCAGTCCTAGGGCTAATTAAAAGGTAAAATAATGAGGAACTGAAACAAAGTTTTAGAATGTTTATTGTAAATTGATTATGTGCAGATTGAAGTTACCTGTAAAAGAAAAGAAAATAAGTAAAAAGTAAAAGTGCATTTAAATTTAAGTAATTGTGTTAAAGTAATTGTACTTACCCTCTGGTGTGGTCTGCCTCAGGTGCTCCGGCCAAAAGAGTCCCCGGGGAGGTGGAGCACCTTAAGAAGGCTCTGGGGCAGCCAACCATGTTGTTTAAAGGAGGGGAGCACAAATGTTTTTACTTGTTCTATTTAGTATTTTAAAACATTAAACACTGCTAATTTAAATAAAGAGATATATATTTTTGTAATTAATGTAATTGGATATTGTTTGGGCACTGTTTTGATAATTATGTAAAATAATTATCAATAATTATAATTATGATAAATGTACAAGTTATTGGAGCTTACCTGATCGTTGAAGTGGGCTCACCCAATTAGGACAGAGCCTTTAAAAGAAGCCAGCCTCACCTTGTTGGGGGAGAGGTGCTGTGTGAGCGCAGGTAACTGCTATGCCTGTTTTTAACCTTTTTGGAACTTTTGTAAATACTTTTCTATTTTTGTCTTTAATAAATGCACTGGGATCTGCACTGTAAACTGCTCAACTTGACTCTGTTCCTTCTAAAACCGCTAAGGTTGCCACCAGGCTTTTACAATCTGCAACTCTTTTATTTCCTGGCACCTCACAGTCGCATTAGAATTCAGTTTTGGCAATTATCACGTCCAAGAAATTACTCACAAGGAAAAAATGCATCAAGTAAACAACGACTGTGAGCGCTGATGGAACGTGTCCAAGTAAAAGTTGTAAAGTACTGTAAGTAAGTATAAATTTGAGATTCTGTACTTTAGTGAGAGGTGCACTATGTAATTTTTTGGTTAGTTTCCATGGAGATGTTATTGCTCTGTCTGGAATGTTCCACAGTATGACATTAAACAGCTCTACCTTATGTTTTTTTTTTTTTTTACAGTTGGATTTACAGCTCAAAATACCTAGAAAAACAAACATCCTCTCCACAGATCTGACCTGTAACTTGGTCCATTTGGTGTCCATGAAGATAGAAACGTTTAATGCTACACTGTGAAACATTCCAGACAAAACAATAACATCTCCAATTGGGAAAGCATTTGACAGAAACTCCACCAGAAACGTTACACAATGCAGCTTAAGTAGATGTTCAAGTGGATACTTATGTTTAGGCTACGTATTACACATCACCAGGTATTTTGAGAAACAAATATTTCCCTGCCTCTCTTTTCCAAAATAACATCGTGCACAAAGCATCGTTTTCAAAATAGTTTTTGTTTACATCAACCCGCATAAATATGCCATCGAACGCCGTTATAACTACACCGAGCCTCTGGGCGCAGCTGGATTAGATTCAAACCTGTAGCATTTATTTCATTACAGTTGTACGTTTTACTCACAAATACCTTGAAAAACGTGCATTTCTGAACGGGCTCGCCTCTTCACAATTATGTTAAAGAAGTAGCAAAATCACTGACCTCTGAGTCCTTGTTCATCTCTGGTCATGGATCTGATCCATCAGCTGTGTGCAAATGCGAACACATGAAAAGTGTTTCACTAGAAGAAAAAGATGAGCTGAAGCGGGGAGTGGTGTCCGATGCCTCCACCTGAGAAGCGCTTTCTCCAGGAAAAAAACATGTGCGCGGACGGACGCTCAGAACAACATATAACGAACCAAACGAGATTCGCATTTCTGTCCGGATCCTTTGCACCACCTTGGAAACAGCCGCGGTCGAGCGCGGAGAACCGGAGCAACAGCCCGGACCTGTGGTCCAAAGCACATTCTCACTTTCCCCACACAGAACCAGTGCGCAGATGACTGCACTGAGGCACTCAGACCCAGTCCTTTGCGCATTGGTCTTACTCACCCCGAGCGTCCGGACTGATCAGACCAACACTGAACCCCCAGCCTCATCTTGAGGAGCTGCACGCTCCGGTGAGTGCTCCCGTGTGTTTAGCGCTGTTACCCGAACTCAGAGCTTCTGCTCCGGGCTGATGTGCGATGAGTTTGTACAAAGTTCTACATGCTGCTGTTTTATGAGTTTGTGGTGATAAGTTGAGATGAGGACGACCGTGGTGGAACACAGATTCCTTTCGCAATTGGAGAAACATTGGGAACATCGGTCTGACCCTAGTCCAGGTCTGTATGAGATGGCGTCTTCACTAACGTGTGTGTGTGTGTGTGTGTGTATATATATATATATGTATATATGTATGTATATGTATATATGTATGTATATATGTATATAGCTTAACCTCACCAAGCAGCACCAGACGTCACATTAATGGTGAGTATTATAACAACATTATTTAAAAGAATAAATTCAGAGGATTATTATACTCACATTTAGTTGAATTCAGTCTTAAAATATATTATATGACTCTCACTGAAATAAATTTCCAAATATTTTGCTTTCATGGCTCTCTGAGTCATAAAGGTTCCCGACACCTGATTTAGGTCAATATTGAAATCATGATTATTCAAAGGATTATGTTTTAGTTACACGATGAATTTATTCAGCATTTTCCTTTAAAAAAACAAAAACAAAACACTTATTATTGATTATTGATAATCTGAGCAAAACTTGAAAACTGAAAATAAATATAGGCTATAAATATGAACCTTAGAGCAGTTCTGAGATGTATAAAATATAAAATTAATAAAATATACTTTGAACACAAAATAAGGCATAGATAAACATAAATGTGTCCAAAATAAACTATGTATCCAGCTGTTTTACAATCTCTAAATTTAAAAAATAAAATAAATATACTTATTTATATAAAAAATATCCCAAAATAAACTTGGTTAAGCAAAATCATTTCAACTCAGTTATATGAGTTTGTACACACAAATCGAAATTACTTGCCTTATTTTTACTTTTACTTCACTACAATCTCTAAATTTAAAAAATAAAATAAATATACTTATTTATATAAAAAGTATCCTGGACTGGTTTAGTCCCAGTTTAAACCTGGTTTAGTCCTGGTTTAGTCCTGGTTTAGTCCTGGTCTATCTCAGTGTAAGAAATCAGAATATTGTATTCTGATTGAATCGTGCATCAGAACGTTACAAAATAAACAGGCTAATAATTAAATTAATATTCTGTAACTAAAAACATGTTCAATTAATTCTTCCATCACTGAACATAATTTTTATTTGTCTGATTTAAATCGTTATAAGTGCGGTGTGGTACCTGTGCGCCTGCGTCGTGCTGTTCCATGCTGCTGCCCGGAGATGAGGAGGTCACTGCGCCAAGGAAGAGGAGAAATACGTGAATGACGCCGAACCGCAGGATGCACCAGTAACACCGCATGTTCAGTCCGTACGTGCATGGGCGTGGGATCGGCATGCGTGGGCGTGAGATCGGCGTGAGATCGGCGTGAGATCGGAGCAGGTATGCAAGTTTGTGGCACGTGTCCGGACAAGACTAAAAAGAAAAAGAAAAGTAGTTTCATAGTTACGTAAAGTTTAACAGCAAGATAAGCCCTGACGGTCTCTTTGGAGTCACATTGACCCAAAGAACTTTTTTTTCCTTCCCACTCTCTTGGGGCGGGTCAGTCAGACCCAAAAATTAATTTTCTCACCTGGCAAGAATTTATTTGAAAATCAATTTTTGGGTCTGATTGACCCACCCCAAGAGAGCGGGAAGGAAAAAAAAATATTCAGGTCAATGTGACCCCAAAGAGACCAAGAGGTTTAAAGACAGATTTTATATGATTCTGAAGAAGTTTGTGTTTAAACCTCGTTTAAACACAAAGTTCTTCAGAACGTTTTAGTTTAGTGCTGGTTTAGTCCTAGTTTAGACCTGGTTTAGTCCTAGTTTAGAACTAGTTTAGACCTGGTTTAGTCCTAGTTTAGACCTGGTTTAGTCCTAGTTTAGATCTGGGTTAGATTTAGCTTAGTCCTAGTTTCGACCTGGTTTCGACCTGGTTAGTCCTAGTTTAGACCTGGTTTAGTCCTAGTTTAGATCTGGGTTAGATTTAGCTTAGTCCTAGTTTCGACCTGGTTTAGACCTGGTTTAGACCTGGTTTAGACCTGGTTTAGACCTGGTTTAGACCTGGTTTAATCCTGATTTAGAGGAAGTGCCACAAAAAGAATACAGTGAGATGATCAGGAAATTACACAATGACCATGTGAGTCTGGTTTTATGAGACAGATTTAAATGACTGTATAAATGTATAAATATATAAATGTATAAATATATCATGAGTAAACTGAATCAGTTTTTAAAGAGGGAGTGTTATGCAAAATCAACCTTTTGGAGCTTTCTAACATGTTATACCGTTGTTCTCTCAATAAAAACCTGCCTGAGGAGGTTTTAAATGTCACACATGCATGTTCAAGTCTCTCCTGGGGCTTGTTCAACGGTTCCAAACACGATCCGGTCCAAGGCTCCGCCCACATCACCCACGTTCCCACACAACAAATACACAAAAACATGATACAACACAACTTCACAAACCTTATGTGCAGTTTTTCTTTTTTTTTTTTTTAGTGGGGTGTACGCTGATTGTAATGGGATAGTGCTCTGAATGGGGAGTGACTTAGCGTGGAGAGCCATGTTAATATATTGTTTTCGGGAAATGCAGCATTTCCTGAACAATACAAGGTCATACAACAGTATTCTGAATATGTACAGAGTTAACAATGAATGCCCCACGATCAAGAGTCATACCCACACACGGGTCATACCCACACACGGGTCACACCCACACACGGGTCATACCCCCACACGAGAGTCACACCCACACGAGGGTCACACCCACACGAGAGTCACACCCACACGAGAGTCACACCCACACGAGAGTCACACCCACACGAGAGTCACACCCACACTGGTCACACCCACACGAGAGTCACACCCACACGAGAGTCACACCCACACGAGAGTCACACCCACGAGAGTCACACCCCTGGTCACACCCACACGAGAGTCACACCCACACGAGAGTCACACCCACACTGGTCACACCCACACGAGAGTCACACCCACACGAGAGTCACACCCACACTGGTCACACCCCACACGAGGTCACACCCACACGAGGTCACACCCACACGAGAGTCACACACCCACACACGAGAGTCACACCCACACGGTCACACCCGACACTCACACCCACACGAGTCACACCCACACGAGAGTCACACCCACACTGGTCACACCCACACGTGAGTCACACCCACACGAGAGTCACACCCACACGAGAGTCACACCCACACGAGGGTCACACCCACACTGGTCACACCCACACTGGTCACACCCACACGAGAGTCACACCCACACGAGAGTCACACCCACACGAGAGTCACACCCACACTGGTCACACCCACACGAGAGTCACACCCACACGAGAGTCACACCCACACGAGAGTCACACCCACACGAGTCACACCCACACGAGGGTCACACCCACACGAGAGTCACACCCACACGAGAGTCACACCCACACTGGTCACACCCACACGAGAGTCACACCCACACGAGGGTCACACCCACACGACGGGTCACACCCACACGAGTCACACCCACACGAGGTCACACCCACACGAGGGTCACACCCACACCACACGAGGGTCACACCCACACGAGAGTCACACCCACACTGGTCACACCCACACGAGAGTCACACCCACACACCCACACGAGAGTCACACCACACGAGAGTCACACCCACACGAGAGTCACACCCACACTGGTCACACCCACACGAGGGTCACACCCACACGAGGGTCACACCCACACTGGTCACACCCACACGAGGGTCACACCCACACGAGGTCACACCCACACGAGGTCACACCCACACGGGTCACACCCACACTGGTCACACCCACACTGGTCACACCCACACGAGAGTCATACCCACACGAGAGTCACACCCACACTGGTCATACCCACACGAGAGTCATACCCACACGAGAGTCATACCCACACGAGGGTCATACCCACACCCTCATCAATTTTTTTTATTACAAACTCAAAGCATAACCCCAAAGGCATTATTATTATTATTATTATTATTATTATTATTGTCTCTACTATTAATTACAGTAATTACAACAATAACTTATTTCATCATTATCATTAGCAGTAATTGTACTAATACTGAATACTAAAACTTAGATTTTTCATGTGATACTTTTACTTTTACTTGAGTATCATGTTTATCCAGTCTCTGTACTTTTACTTAAGTAACAAAATTGAGTGCTTCTTCCACAGGGTGACCAGACGTCCCTGTTTCCCTGGGACAGTCACCGTTTTGAGCCTGTGTCCTTTGTCCCAGCAGATTTATAATAAAAACTGTGATTTGTCCCAGTTTTACACAAGAAATGTGGTGATTCTATTTTTGACCAATCTGATCCCTGCCAACAGTAAAAAGAGACATAAATTGTCATTTCTTTAGGTAAAATACAGAAAAGCTGCTTAAAAATGACTAAAACACAAAGAAAATTTGACTATATTGACTCACATTAGTGCAGAACAGTTTTTGTTAATTACACACTCGTTTCACAATTTTATTATTACTTGAACCAGGACTAAACCAGGACTGAACCAGGACTAAACCAGGACTAAACCAGGACTGAAAAAGGACTAAACCAGGATTAAACCAGGTCTAAACCAGGACTAAACCAAGGACTAAACCAGGATTAAACCAGGACTGACCCAGGACTAAACCAGGATTAAACCAGGACTAAACCAGGACTGAACCAGGATTAAACCAGGACTAAACCAGGACTGACCCAGGACTAAACCAGGATTAAACCAGGACTAAACCAGGACTGAACTAGGACTAAAACAGGACCAAAACTCCTCTGGATAAACTGAACTGAAAATAATTTGACAAATACAGCCAGAGAATGAAATTTTATTCATATAAAACACATTTCACATGTAAAAGTACGAGTAGTACTTAAAAAAACATGACACAAGTAAAAGTACAAAAGAAGTAGTCCAAGAATTTTGAAGTGGACGTAATTCAAAGCACAAAACATTAAATGATGTAACAGTTATGGAATTATCGAGCGTGATGTTATAATTTTCCACCCAGGAAGTCTAAAAAATGGGCAAACTGGGGTAAAAAATGTAAACTTTTTGAGTAAAATCTGAAATATAATGATCTTAATTGTGTTTTGGAGAAGTCTAACCTGCCATGGGGACTTTAAAAATGGCACAAACAAAAACAATGTGACCCAAAATAATTGAAAATCACAGATAAAAGTTAAAAGTTTGCATCATTAAACAATCAGGTTTTGTTAGTGGGTTTAAAAACTGCGATGGTCTTGATCACATTCTGTCTGAAGGAACTTTAAGACTCCACAAACTCCTAAATCTGTGTCTCATTTGTTTTATTTGTTTTTCAAAATAAAACCAGAAATAAGAAAATGAAAAAAAAAAGAATAATAATAATTTTCTTCATTATTTGTCTCCAAAACCAAAATGAAAAAATAATGAAAAATTTAAATTTTGTGGGGTTTTTTTATACCGCGTATGGACTGAACCAGGACTAAACCAGGTCTGGGGCCAGACAGGAACCAGACCGGGACTGAGACCAGGGCCAGAACCAGGACTAAGCCCGTGACTGAGACCAGGATTGAGGCCGAGACCAGACCGAGACTGAGACTGGGACTGACCAGACCAGGACCGAGACCAGAACTAAGTCCAGGACCGGGACCAGGACCGGGACTGAGATCGGAACCGAGACCAGGACTGAGGCCAGGACTAGAATGGGACTGAGACCGGGACCAGACTGGGGCCGAGACCGGGACCGGACTGGGACCGAGACCGGGACCGCAACCAGGACTGAGGCCGGGACCAGACCGGGACCAGACCATGATTGAGACCAGGACTGAGACTGGGACCAGACCAGGACTGAAAACAGTTTAGTCCTGGTTCAGTCCGTATGTGGTGCAAAAGTCCAACATCGCAGTTTAAGTCACGTAAACGGGAAATAATGGAAAAAATGTTATCCGGTTTTGAAAACAGTTTTGTTTTGTTTTTTCATTTTCTTATTTTTGGTTTTATATTGAAAAACGAATTAATGAATGACACACAGATTCTCCTAGAACATCACCTCCATGGTCGTTATGTTCAGACCTGGTGGGACGGTTGGTCCGGTTGGTCTGGTTGGTCTGGTTGGACCTGTGCACTGTGAGTCTTGTTCCTCCTGCGCTCCAGAGCCTTGGTGATCTCTCTGAGCACAGTCTCCTTGTTGTTCTTCATGTTCTCCTGGGCGATCTTCAGCAGACGATCGATCATCTCAGGGCTGTAGCTCCTCTGAAACGTGGAGAACTCCTCCATCCTCTGGGCCCACTCGTCTGCGTCTGGACACAGCAGGAAAATCCAGTTCAGCCTTTTTAGTTTCAAATCAAGAGCTGAGTTTTAGATAAAAGAGGAGTTATTTTACTTCTGTGGACATAATGGTCTTAACATGTTTAAAGATTTTCACTTTTGTTTTGGATGCTCTGAGTTAATCCGTGTATCATTCGTTCATTTGTTTGCACTTTTTACGCTGCATATAAACTGAACCAGGACTAAACCAGAAGAAAACTAGGATTAAAACAAGACTAAATCAGAACTAAACCAGGACTAAACCAGAGCTAAACCAGGTCAAAACCAAGACTGAACTAGGACTACACCAGGACTAAATGGGACTAAACCAGATCTAAACTAGGTCTAAACCTGGACTAAAACAGGACTAAACCAGGACTAAACCAGGACTAAACCAGGTCTAAATCAAGACTAAAACAGGACTGAACCAGGACTGAGTCTTTGAGTTTTTTTCATTTTGGTTTTGGAGATAAATAATGAAGAAAATTGTTGTTTTTTTCGTTTTCTTATTTTTGGTTTTATTTTGAAAAACGAATGAACGAATGATACACAGATTTGAGTCCCCCCTCTCTTTTGCTCCCGGGGTTAAGTCACTCCCCCTTCAGAGCACTATCACAACACAATCAGCGTTCACCCCGCCAATGAAACAATCACATCAGGTTTGTGAAGTTCTTGTGTATAGTTTTGTATCATGTTTTTGTATATTTATGCAGAATTGTCGTGCGGGAGCCTGGGTGAATAGGAGGATGAAAATAGAGCCTGGGAGAGATCACTAGATTACTCAAACATGCATGGATTACTTTAAAACCTCTTCAGGAATAATAGAAAGATCCAAAAAGTTGATTTCATTAATTGATTTCATTAATTCATATCCTGTCCTCTAACGATTGTTTTAAATTTAGAAAGTAAAATTGTGCCTAAAATTCAACAAAACAGGAATAAAAAATGTTTTCTTTTCAGTTTAGTGAAGTGAGCAGAGCAGCTGCTGAGGCCCCAAGAGCAGATTTTATTGGAAACTATGTAAAATGTTACTTTGATCGCGCCTACACAAACTGGAGAACAATGAAAAGAATCAGAAAAAAAGGAAAATCATTTTAGAATCTTAAAATATTTGTAGAGGAGGATCCCACACTCCCCGTTTAATGTTGGGATACAGTTCTTGTGACCACTGGTGTTCCTAAACTCTCCATTTAAAAGACAAACCTTTGTATCTTTTTATTTAAACATTATTGTTAGTTTAACATTATTATTAGACCATAAATGAAAACATATGTGTGTGTGTGGCAGAGGTGGGACTTGCTAGTCGTGATTTGAGTTGATTCACTATTTTTAGGACTTGAGACTTGACTTGATAAAATGGACTAAGACTTGGGACTCGACTTTGACTTGAAGGTCAGTGACTTGGGACTTGATTCGGACTTAAGGTCTGTGACTTGAGAAGACTGAATTCTTTCTAGTTTCACCATAATGATTCACACTAAGATCTTTTTAAGACATTTAAAGTAACATTTCTACAACTCTTATATACTCATAAATGCTCATGTATAAATATACTATGATTTTTTATGTACAATTTATCTTATAATTCATATAAATTGCAAAAATCTAATCTATATTTGGTGGTTTGGTTTAAAGACTTGAAATGACTTGAAGCTTACGCAGATGACTTGGACTTGACTTGGACTTATAGGCCAGTGACTCGAGACTCGACTAATTATTCTTGTCTGTATTTGACTTGGGACTTGACTCGGACTTGAGGTCAAAGACTTGAGACTTACTTGAGACTTGCAAAACAACAACTTGGTCCCACCTCTGGTATATGGATGATGATATAAAGGTTAAAAAAAAAAAGTGTTAACCACATGTTACAGTAAAACAATTGTTGGTTTGTTTTTTAACTTCATGTTGCTGCATTTTGTTCAAACACAAATGAAATTCTTCCCTTTACATTTGTATTCTATTTATATTCTATTTGAAGCTGATGATACAAACAGAGTTCGTGGTGTGACTACAGCTCTGTGTCGTGTTGAGATCTGAAACATCAAAGCGAGGCCCTTGTAGCGGTGAGGCACTCTGCCCGGGGCCCCTGCAGGCTCAGGCTCGGGCCCCGGGAGTGAGTAAGTGTTTACCTTTTGCAGTTGCGTCTGTTGAAGAGGGGCATGAAGACGATGGTGGGAGCCGTGTCGTTGCCCTCAAACACGTAGCAGTCTTTGGGCCAGAGCTTCTCCTCCTCCAGGACCGTGTCATCCAGCTGTGGGAAAGGCTTGCCCACCTCCGCCGCGTACGCCCGAGCCAGAGTCAACGTCTGACAACGAGACCAACGACACATGAGTCAAGCGACGTTTATATGACGACGGTCTGAACAGAAGATGCAAAGGTGGTGTCGCGTCTTCACTTTTTATTCTGGGTTTAAATGAGCGTTTTCAGGAGGAAATCTGCGTGCATACAGTGTCTCCAAAGTGTGTGGGGGATTCGAATTGGGTTTGCATGCCAGGTGGCCTAGTGGTGACTCTAGGTGATGATGTATGTGATGTAAACGCAGACGCGACATGAGCAGATCTGACCAGAGTTTTGCATCTTGGCAGTGCAGATGGAAACGCTACGGTGGAGCATATTCAACTTTTCCACTCTGGAGGTGGGTTTCAGATTTTTGGGTTTTTAAGCCCCAAAAACACCGTCACCGTCTAAACCAGACAAACCAGACAAATTTGGTCCGCAATATAATTGTATTTGGCCTGCGAGATCATATCAAATATCTATTAGAGCTGACCACCAGCTAAAGATAGGCTATAGAGACAATATTTATTTAAAATTGTGTTATTATTTTATATTCTGCTTGGTCTGGATTCAATGTTTAAGGAAAACTATTACTAAACATTTATTTTAATAAGAAAAGGTTTAACATTACATATCTCGAAAGAAGAGAAAACATCAAAAGAAGAGAAAACATGCAGATGTTGTTGAAATTTTTCAATAAATATTTAGTTTGACCCACAACTTAGTACCAGTTTTTAATTTTGGCCTCTGTGAATTTGAGTTTGACACTCCTGGTGTAAACGAAAGGCACTTCCGATAAAATATTTTGTCGTTTTTACCCACAAGCGTTCTCGTGTAAACAGGCCCTGAGAGAGAGAGAGTTTTGTTCCAGCAAACTGTTGCAGTTACTGTGACATTTCCACATCGCCTCCACCTCTGTGTCTCAGTCAAAGGTCTCAGTGCAGTTTAACAATTGGACTGATCAGGGAGGGTCGGCAGAACCTGTGGAAGAGCCAAAAGTGTCCCTCCTCTTTGTCCCGCAGCATCACAGCAGACTACAAGAAGAAATAACAGTTCTAACACTTTTAAGTCTTAGTTGTTTGGATTAAATTTTGTCCAGGCATTTTAAGAGGAAAAAGTAGCATATTAACAGTTTTGTTTGCAGCCTTCACAAAATATCTTAATAAATATTGCACCGTGAGGTTCGTACCGTGACGATATCATAATGTGAGACTTGGATATCGTTACACCCCTAGTAAACCCAAAGGATAGAACACCGAGCCACAAACAAAGCAATGTGGTCTACTCCATTCAGTGCGGTGAAGACTGTGAACGCGGCATCGGAGAAATAAAACAGCTATTCAGAAGAGGATGTACCAACACAGACGAGAGAGCAGCACAGGACCTCAGTCTGCTGTTCATCTCCATCTAAAAGGGATCGTGGTCTATGTAGTTCCTTCTGTCTTTTTTAGCTATTGCTGCACCATAACTCTTAATTTAAGCAAAGAGACTTGTAATTCGATATATTGTGATGGTCCACGACATTATTGTGAGAACTTGAAGCACTGATATTTGAGAGAACGTTTGTAGCCCATAAAAGTTCTCGGCACAGGACATGATCACACCCGGCCACCCTTCTCAAGCCGTTGGGGACGTAGGTGAATACAGTCCGTCCCTGTCCCCAGCTGCTCAGACACGTACCTCAAACATTTCCCCGGCGCTGTACTCGGGGGCGATGATCAGGTCGATGTCCCGCCTCGGCCCCAGGAACGAGGGGTACGCCGTGTTCACCAGCAGCCCCCCGTCCATCAGGTGCAGCAGCTCCGCAGACGCCAGGCAGGACGGGACAGGAACCTCTGCACAGCACAAGAACATTGAGCAAAGGCAAAACTATCCAGTGAGAATCAGCGGTAATTGATTGAGATAGAAAAGAAACTGAGACTGCGCAGCCCTCGTTATCTTGGTTTATGCCATCAGAAGTATGATACTCCCTACAACAGAACAGACTTACACCTTTTCACCTCACAATCTTTTGGAGGTTTTCAAACGAGTGGCTCTTTTTATTTATTTATATGACACCAAGAAGCCAATGTGAGATCTAAACCAGGACTAAACCAGATCTAAACCAGGACTAAACCAGATCTAAACCAGGATTGAACAAGGACTGAACCAGGACTAAACAAGGTGTTAAAAGAAGGATTACCCCAGGACTAAACCAGAACTAAACTAGGAATGAACCAAGACTAAACCAGGACTAAACTAGGACTGAACCAGGACTAAACCAGGACTAAACTAGGACTGAACCAGGACTAAACCAAGACTGATCCCAGGACTGAACCAGGAGGGCTAAACCAAGACTGAACTAGGACTAAAACTAGAACTAAAACAGGACTTAAACAGGACTGATGCCAGGTTGATTCCAGATTGATTCCAATCTTTTGCAGCCTTTCAGATGACTAGCTCTTTTAATATTTATTTATTTATATGACAGAAGCCAATGTGAGAGTTAATTTAACTACAAAATAATCAGAGAAATGTTTAAGATGGTTCAAAGTGAGAGTGGGAGTGTGTTTATCCTTTGAAATTATGAAAAAATAAAATACTGCAAATATTAATACACTATCAATTATATCAAAACTCTTATTAAGATGTGATAAAAAATGTAAATAACAAGTTGCACTGCAGTAATCATTTTAAAACTGTTTGTTTATGATGCCAAATATGTTTTTTTGTGCACAAAACTCTCACTCATGGGTCCTGCTCAGTATAATATGCAATAGCCACATGGACAACACATAAGAAATAAACTAATTTATACACAATAAAATGTGTTGCACAGAGCAGATTTAGCCCAAGATATCGACACTGTATCATCACATTAAACAATACGATATATCGATATTTCAATTTTTTTGCACACCCCTAGATGTCATGTAGTGGTAGTCTTCAATATTACAGTTACCTTTTACTTTTTGTTCAGTAGAGATTGGAAATTCTAGAGCTGATTATCCACATGATTCTAGTGAAGGTGTACGGAGTGTAAAAACAAAGTGGAGCACTTTCTGTATTACCAGATGACATCACAAGGTGGAGCAGAGTGTTTTGTGTTTGAGAGAAGAACTCAGCCTAAATCTGCAGGGTTTGCGTGTTAAACGTGTGAATGAAAAAAAAANGGCGATCTTCAGCAGACGATCGATCATCTCAGGGCTGTAGCTCCTCTGAAACGTGGAGAACTCCTCCATCCTCTGGGCCCACTCGTCTGCGTCTGGACACAGCAGGAAAATCCACTTCAGCCTTTTTAGTTTCAAATCAAGAGCTGAGTTTTCAGATAAAAGAGGAGTTATTTTACTTCTGTGGACATAATGGTCTTAACATGCTTAAAGATTTTCACTTTTGTTTTGGATGCTCTGAGTTAATCCGTGTATCATTCGTTCATTTGTTTGCACTTTTTACGCTGCATACAAAACTGAACCAGGACTAAACCAGAAGAAAACTAGGATTAAAACAAGACTAAATCAGAACTAAACCAGGACTAAACCAGAGCTAAACCAGGTCAAAACCAAGACTGAACTAGGACTACACCAGGACTAAATGGGACTAAACCAGATCTAAACTAGGTGTAAACCTGGACTAAAACAGGACTAAACCAGGTCTAAATCAAGACTAAAACAGGACTGAACCAGGACTGAGTCTTTGAGTTTTTTTTATTTTGGTTTTGGAGATAAATAATGAAGAAAATAGTTGTTTTTTTCGTTTTCTTATTTTTGGTTTTATTTTGAAAAACGAATGAACGAATGATACACAGATTTGAGTCCCCCCTCTCTTTTGCTCCCGGGGTTAAGTCACTCCCCCTTCAGAGCACTATCACAACACAATCAGCGTTCACCCCGCCAATGAAACAATCACATCAGGTTTGTGAAGTTCTTGTGTACAGTTTTGTATCATGTTTTTGTATATTTATGCAGAATTGTCGTGCGGGAGCCTGGGTGAATAGGAGGATGAAAATAGAGCCTGGGAGAGATCACTAGATTACTCAAACATGCATGGATTACTTTAAAACCTCTTCAGGAATAATAGAAAGATCCAAAAAGTTCCTATCCTGTCCTCTAACGATTGTTTTAAATTTAGAAAGTAAAATTGTGCCTAAAATTCAACAAAACAGGAATAAAAAATGTTTTCTTTTCAGTTTAGTGAAGTGAGCAGAGCAGCTGCTGAGGCCCCAAGAGCAGATTTTATTGGAAACTATGTAAAATGTTACTTTGATCGCGCCTACACAAACTGGAGAACAATGAAAAGAATCAGAAAAAAAGGAAAATAATTTTAGAATCTTAAAATATTTGTAGAGGAGGATCCCACACTCCCCGTTTAATGTTGGGATACAGTTCTTGTGACCACTGGTGTTCCTAAACTCTCCATTTAAAAGACAAACCTTTGTATCTTTTTATTTAAACATTATTGTTAGTTTAACATTATTATTAGACCATAAATGAAAACATATGTGTGTGTGTGGCAGAGGTGGGACTTGCTAGTCGTGAGTTGATTCACTATTTTTAGGACTTGAGACTTGACTTGATAAAATGGACTAAGACTTGGGACTCGACTTTGACTTGAAGGTCAGTGACTTGGGACTTGATTCGGACTTAAGGTCTGTGACTTGAGAAGACTGAATTCTTTCTAGTTTCACCATAATGATTCACACTAAGATCTTTTTTAAGACATTTAAAGTAACATTTCTACAACTCTTATATACTCATAAATGCTCATGTATAAATATACTATGATTTTTTATGTACAATTTATCTTATAATTCATATAAATTGCAAAAATCTAATCTATATTTGGTGGTTTGGTTTAAAGACTTGAAATGACTTGAAGCTTACGCAGATGACTTGGACTTGACTTGGACTTATAGGCCAGTGACTCGAGACTCGACTAATTATTCTTGTCTGTATTTGACTTGGGACTTGACTCGGACTTGAGGTCAAAGACTTGAGACTTACTTGAGACTTGCAAAACAACAACTTGGTCCCACCTCTGGTATATGGATGATATAAAGGTTAAAAAAAAAAAGTGTTAACCACATGTTACAGTAAAACAATTGTTGGTTTTTGTTTTTTAACTTCATGTTGCTGCATTTTGTTCAAACACAAATGAAATTCTTCCCTTTACATTTGTATTCTATTTATATTCTATTTGAAGCTGATGATACAAACAGAGTTCGTGGTGTGACTACAGCTCTGTGTCGTGTTGAGATCTGAAACATCAAAGCGAGGCCCTTGTAGCGGTGAGGCACTCTGCCCGGGGCCCCTGCAGGCTCAGGCTCGGGCCCCGGGAGTGAGTAAGTGTTTACCTTTGCAGTTGCGTCTGTTGAAGAGGGGCATGAAGACAATGGTGGGAGCCGTGTCGTTGCCCTCAAACACGTAGCAGTCTTTGGGCCAGAGCTTCTCCTCCTCCAGGACCGTGTCATCCAGCTGTGGGAAAGGCTTGCCCACCTCCGCCGCGTACGCCCGAGCCAGAGTCAACGTCTGACAACGAGACCAACGACACATGAGTCAAGCGACGTTTATATGACGACGGTCTGAACAGAAGATGCAAAGGTGGTGTCGCGTCTTCACTTTTTATTCTGGGTTTAAATGAGCGTTTTCAGGAGGAAATCTGCGTGCATACAGTGTCTCCAAAGTGTGTGGGATTCGATTGGGTTTGCATGCCAGGTGGCCTAGTGGTGACTCTAGGTGATGATGTATGTGATGTAAACGCAGACGCGACATGAGCAGATCTGACCAGAGTTTTGCGTCTTGGGCAGTGCAGATGGAAACGCTACGGTGGAGCATATTCAACTTTTCCAGTCTGGAGGGTGGTTTCAGATTTTTGGGTTTTTAAGCCCCAAAAACACCGTCACCGTCTAAACCAGACAAACCAGACAAATTTGGTCCGCAATATAACTGTATTTGGCCTGCGAGATCATATCAAATATGTATTAGAGCTGACCACCAGCTAAAGATAGGCTATAGAGACAATATTTATTTAAAATTGTGTTATTATTTTATATTCTGCTTGGTCTGGATTCAATGTTTAAGGAAAACTATTACTAAACATTTATTTTAATAAGAAAAGTTTTAACATTACATATCTCGAAAGAAGAGAAAACATGCAGATGTTGTTGAAATTTTTCAATAAATATTTAGTTTGACCCACAACGTAGTACCAGTTTTTAATTTTGGCCTCTGTGAATTTGAGTTTGACACTCCTGGTGTAAACGAAAGGCACTTCCGATAAAATATTTTGTCGTTTTTACCCACAAGCGTTCTCGTGTAAACAGGCCCTGAGAGAGAGAGTTTTGTTCCAGCAAACTGTTGCAGTTACTGTGACATTTCCACATCGCCTCCGCCTCTGTGTCTCAGTCAAAGGTCTCAGTGCAGTTTAACAATTGGACTGATCAGGGAGGGTCGGCAGAACCTGTGGAAGAGCCAAAAGTGTCCCTCCTCTTTGTCCCGCAGCATCACAGCAGACTACAAGAAGAAATAACAGTTCTAACACTTTTAAGTCTTAGTTGTTTGGATTAAATTTTGTCCAGGCATTTTAAGAGGAAAAAGTAGCATATTAACAGTTTTGTTTGCAGCCTTCACAAAATATCTTAATAAATATTGCACCGTGAGGTTCGTACCGTGACGATATCATAATGTGAGACTTGGATATCGTTACACCCCTAGTAAACCCAAAGGATAGAACACCGAGCCACAAACAAAGCAATGTGGTCTACTCCATTCAGTGCGGTGAAGACTGTGAACGCGGCATCGGAGAAATAAAACAGCTATTCAGAAGAGGATGTACCAACACAGACGAGAGAGCAGCACAGGACCTCAGTCTGCTGTTCATCTCCATCTAAAAAGGGATCGTGGTCTATGTAGTTCCTTCTGTCTTTTTTAGCTATTGCTGCACCATAACTCTTAATTTAAGCAAAGAGACTTGTAATTCGATATATTGTGATGGTCCACGACATTATTGTGAGAACTTGAAGCACTGATATTTGAGAGAACGTTTGTAGCCCATAAAAGTTCTCGGCACAGGACATGATCACACCCGGCCACCCTTCTCAAGCCGTTGGGGACGTAGGTGAATACAGTCCGTCCCTGTCCCCAGCTGCTCAGACACGTACCTCAAACATTTCCCCGGCGCTGTACTCGGGGGCGATGATCAGGTCGATGTCCCGCCTCGGCCCCAGGAACGAGGGGTACGCCGTGTTCACCAGCAGCCCCCCGTCCATCAGGTGCAGCAGCTCCGCAGACGCCAGGCAGGACGGGACAGGAACCTCTGCACAGCACAAGAACATTGAGCAAAGGCAAAACTATCCAGTGAGAATCAGCGGTAATTGATTGAGATAGAAAAGAAACCTGAGACTGCGCAGCCCTCGTTATCTTGGTTTATGCCATCAGAAGTATGATACTCCCTACAACAGAACAGACTTACACCTTTTCACCTCACAATCTTTTGGAGGTTTTCAAACGAGTGGCTCTTTTTATTTATTTATATGACACCAAGAAGCCAATGTGAGATCTAAACCAGGACTAAACCAGATCTAAACCAGGACTAAACCAGATCTAAACCAGGACTAAACCAGGATTGAACAAGGACTGAACCAGGACTAAACAAGGTGTTAAAAAGAAGGATTACCCCAGGACTAAACCAGAACTAAACTAGGAATGAACCAAGACTAAACCAGGACTAAACTAGGACTAAAGACTAAAGGACTAAACTAGGACTGAAACCAGGACTAAACTAGGACTGAACCAGGACTAAACCAAGACTGATCCCAGGACTGAACCAGGAGGGCTAAACCAAGACTGAACTAGGACTAAAACTAGAACTAAAACAGGACTAAAACAGGACTTAAACAGGACTGATGCCAGGTTGATTCCAGATTGATTCCAATCTTTTGCAGCCTTTCAGATGAACTAGCTCTTTTAATATTTATTTATTTATATGACAGAAGCCAATGTGAGAGTTAATTTAACTACAAAATAATCAGAGAAATGTTTAAGATGGTTCAAAGTGAGAGTGGGAGTGTGTTTATCCTTTGAAATTATGAAAAAATAAAATACTGCAAATATTAATACACTATCAATTATATCAAAACTCTTATTAAGATGTGATAAAAATGTAAATAACAAGTTGCACTGCAGTAATCATTTTAAAACTGTTTGTTTATGATGCCAAATATGTTTTTTTGTGCACAAAACTCTCACTCATGGGTCCTGCTCAGTATAATATGCAATAGCCACATGGACAACACATAAGAAATAAACTAATTTATACACAATAAAATGTGTTGCACAGAGCAGATTTAGCCCAAGATATCGACACTGTATCATCACATTAAACAATACGATATATCGATATTTCAATTTTTTTGCACACCCCTAGATGTCATGTAGTGGTAGTCTTCAATATTACAGTTACCTTTTACTTTTTGTTCAGTAGAGATTGGAAATTCTAGAGCTGATTATCCACATGATTCTAGTGAAGGTGTACGGAGTGTAAAAACAAAGTGGAGCACTTTCTGTATTACCAGATGACATCACAAGGTGGAGCAGAGTGTTTTGTGTTTGAGAGAAGAACTCAGCCTAAATCTGCAGGGTTTGCGTGTTAAACGTGTGAATGAAAAAAAAAAAAACACTTTAAGTTAAGTTAAGACAAAGTTTCTTTAAAAGTTCTTTAAAAGATCTTCATTCCACATCAGTCTTTACCGTCATACTTGTAGAGGAAGTTTTTGACCGTTCCCCATTCCCAGCGCAGGACCAGGGGGATGATCTTGTCCACCAGCGAACTCCCTAGAGACACAACAAAACTTTAGTGCAAACCAGTGGAACTCTGGGTGTTGGTACATTGCAGTGACGTTACGCTGAGGTTGTTCTTAAACACATTAATCGAACAACAGAAGAATCGTTAGACTAATCGTCCAATTAGTGTTTAGATTATTTGAGTAATTGCTAAAATAATCACCTGATTACCGTATTTTATATACAAGTGGCTCTGGAGTATAAAACACACCAGCCAAAAAATGGGTAATGAAGAAGAAAAAAACAATCGCATAAGTTGAAGCAGACTGGAAGTTGCAGTTTTTGGGGGAAAATTATTTTATAAAATCAGAGACCAGGAACCGACATTTCATCTTGAAATTCAAGTTCTAGTAATGACAATAGAACAGAGAACAACAGACTGTTAACGTCACATATGAACAGTTCTTCAGATAAACTATAACATAAACAACAGAACAGAACAAGTTTACCAAACTCTCCATCTCACTCCAAATCTCTAAATCCATTCAATTCTTCATCCTCGTGTGTCACTTCTGAGCAACTCCGTGACCTCCGGAGGTAAACAGAGCGTCCGCTTCCTCTTCTGTGTCGCTGTCGTCAGACTCAGCATCAGTTCCAGTTAGAATTATTCTGGCCTTTCTGAATCCCGACAGGATGGTTTTGGTGTCACTGAAGTCCAGGCTTTGTCCATCCATCTAGTGATTTCAGGAAAGTTTCATGGTGCATCCTCCTGGTGTTACAAGTTTCTCTCTCACTCCAAACTTTCTTTCTGCTGCTCGATTATCGTTTTCGGCTGCAGATTTCACGACTTGCAAATTGTAATCTGCAAAATCTGATTTTCTTTTTGGGGGCATTTGTGTTCAGTCTTCTCAGTCGTCTTTATAAGTTTGTTTAAATTGATACAGAAGTAATGGTTTGATCGACTGACATGATACAGACAGGACAGAGGCTCTTTCTGCAGGAGACATGTGCAGTAGAGCCAAGTGACAGTGGTGCAGGAGGAACAGGAGCAGCAGAGACTGACACACAAGACTAGAGCCTCTCGACGCTTCAGTGTGAACATTTTAATATATAAGTCGCATCGGAGTATATATTACCCAAACCATGAAAAAAAGTGTGAAAAATACGGTTATCGTTTTAAAAATAATCGTTTTCCCTCAGCCCAAACTGTTTTATCAGCTGATGGACCAGAAAAGTGACATCACACTTCACAGCTCCACAGGACCCTCCACCTCCTCCACTGACCCTGAGCCTTGACGGGTCCCTCTGGCAGACCGTAGGCCCAGGTCTGGACCGTCGTCCCCAGCTCATAGGTCCACTTAAGGAACTGCGGCCCCCTCTGCTGCAGGGACCGCAGCTGCTCCGACTCGTCACGGTTCACTTTGTCTGGAAACAACAAGGGTTAAAGGTCAGGTGCAAGCATTATTCATTTTCATATAAATATTTTTCACTGCACTCTGAGTGAAAGTGACCAGACATCCCTATTTTCCCGGGACAGTCCCAGTTTTGAGCCTTGTGTCCCATGTCCCAGCAGATTTATCCAAAAACAAAACAAGGAATGTCACAGAAGTCCATATTTTTGACCAATTTGATTTAAAGAGAGGCATACGTTGTCATTTGTTTTGGTAAAATATAGAAAAGCGGCTTAAAAATGACCAAAACACAAATACAATGTGACTATACTTAAGGCCGAATTATAGTTCCGTGTCGACTCAATGCACACTGCTGCCGTCGCATTAGTTTTTGATTAATGGATCTGCATCGAGGTCTTTGCGCTGCGAAGTAATTCACCACCACAACACTAGGAGACTAGGATTTAGAAATGGCGTTAGTGTTTACAAACTGAAACGGGAAATGTAGAGAGGCTCAATCTGTACATCCGCCTTTACTGTCTGCGTTGGTTTAATGCGTAGTTACAAAATTTTCAAGGTTCAAGTTCAAGGTGATGCAGACTCTCTGTGTGATTTGACGCGGAACCATAAATTGGGCTTTAGTCACATTAATACAGAGTACAGAACTCGTTTCACAATTTTATTATTACCAACTACCTCAAACCCAGCCTGATTCATGAGCCAGTTTCACTTCGTAGAAACCGTCTGACCTCACAGCATTAGGATTCGGTCGCTCGACGGTAGGCGGGTACTTTTTTATTTAACCAATCACTGCTGTTTGGTCGTGACGTATGTAATGCGCCAAATCCTGTCAATAACGTCTTTCCCCTTGATAAAATTCACCAAACATTCTCTTTGTTCCCGCTTTAAATCCTCGATCTCGGGAATCGTTGCCAACACAGAATGTCTGTCTTTGTCTACATCCATCTCGACCACTTTGTTTACCGTTGTGCTGTTCCACAAAAGGGACTCAGACAGATGCTTGAGTTTGACGTCATGACTTCACAGCTCTTCACTGATTGGCCAGTGTGCGGTCTACAACTTCCGGGGTTCTTGCAAAATGTCTAGTGTATGGTGGCACCAGCCTGGTTAGCCCAAACCAGGGATGTCCCAGTTTTTTATTTTGAAAATCTGGTCACCTTACCCTGAGTGTCCTCATTTAGAAAACACTGAAGAAATTGCACCTTTAATGTATCTTAAAGGGCCCATATAAGACTGTTTATGATGTAGTTGTAGTTCTTGAGTCGTACCTTGTAGCGCGCTCTGGAGGTTGTCGACGTGTTGGAGCACTTCCTCATTGTTCACATGAGATTTGAACCGACGTATAAAAGTCATGATGATGTTATAACGGCGCAGGTACTGATGAGCCGCTGTGTCCAGGTACTCCGGAACTGAAAGTAGCACATATTAGCACATGTTAACCTGTTAGCGTATTTAGCGTGTTAGCATACGTACAGTTGAGCCAGTCCGGGATGTGATCCTCCATCTTCTCATTGGCCAGAGCAGAGCCCAGTATTCCTGCACAGACAGTACTTTATTTTTTAATACAGTAACTGCAGTGTACTACAATACAGTGTACTACAATACTATGTACCACAACACAGTGTACTACAATACTATGTACCACAATACAGTGTACCACAATACAGTGTACTACAATACAGTGTACCACAATACAGTGTACTACAATACAGTGTACTACAATACAGTGTACTACAATACAGTGTACTACAATACAGTGTACTACAATACAGTGTACTACAATACTGTGTACCACAATACAGTGTATTACAATACAGTGTACACAATACAGTGTACTACAATACAGTGTACTACAATACAGTGTACTACAATACTGTGTACCACAATACAGTGTATTACAATACAGTGTACTACAATACAGTGTACTACAATACTATGTACCACAATACAGTGTACTGCGGTCAGAGGTGGGACTTGCAAGTCGTGACTTGGACTCGAGTCAGACTTGAGTCACTATTTTTAGGACTTGAGACTTGACTTGATAAAATGGAGTGTCATCTAGAGCGTCGACGACAAAACGCTCAAGATGCGCCGCGTCGACGCCAGATTCGCGCCGCGCTGATGCTCGAAGATGCACCGCAAAAACGCAGGACGCCCTAGATGCGCGTCCACATAGACTTTACATAGAAACTGGACGCTTTGACGCTCTGGTCTGAACACCCCTTAAGACTTGGGACTCGACTTGGACTTGAAGGCCAGTGACTTTGGACTTGACTTGGACTTGAGGCCTGTAACTTGAGAAGACTTGATGTTTCTCTTAAAAAAAATACATGCTTTTAGAAAATAAATAGAAAATTTCTCTTCACAGTTGATAAATGCGACGCTGAATTTTACAGGAACAAACTGGAACATGTCGCTCCCACTTTTCTGTTTGTTACTTTGGGTGTAACTGAAGTACTGTGATGTGGTATCCTCAAGTGTACTACAGTAATATACAGTACAATAGAGTAATATGCAGTAAAACAAGGAAATACAAAGAACATGATCCTTCATGACAAAATAACTTTTAGCACTTTTAAATCTTAATTTATTTATTCTGACTGTAATGATTCACTCCAAGAAATTCATATAAATTGCAAAAATCTAAGCTCTTTGGTTTAAAGACTTGAAATGACTTGAAGCTCAAAGCAGACGACTTGGACTTGACTCGGACTCATGGGCCAGTGACTCGAGACTTGACTTGAGACTCGCAAAACAACGACTTGGTTTCACCTCTGACTACGGTGTATTTTAAATGCAAAGCTCAAGGTTCAAGTCTAATTACTTCAATAAGGAACTGATTTTTCTGTCCAAAAAACACCATTTCCTCTTTTCAAGGAGTGACTGGCAGCCTTCTTCAGGATGTGGCAGACGCGTCAGACACATAATCGAATCGAATCGAATCGCATCGAAGCATTGAAAGGCAAATGAAAGAAATGCACTATAGAGGCAATAAAGTGTATCTTTATCTTCTGTACCTTCATCTGGATTTTCCTCTGCTTAAATGTAGACGACATAAAACTCAAAGCTATTGATTTGAGTCTCTTTTAAAGGAACATATTTTCAGAGCTTTTTTCAGAGTTGTATTTGGAGAGATTCATGTTTGCCTGAGTTTTCAGTTGTAAAATGTCCAAAATATGACATAATGACCTCCAGGTGTCATAGATTATCACTATGTATTTCACAACAGCATGATGTTTGTAAAGGGTCCACGTACCCTGGACCTGGATCATGTCCATCTCGGGCGTGTCCTCCAGCAGAGCTCCTCCCTGGAACTTGGAGCCCAGAGCCGAGGTCTCCACAAACAGCTCCAGCTCCGAGAAGCCGGCCTCATGCGGCGTCAGCTCAAACCACTTTCCTGGAGAAAGCACAGGAGGCTACAGTGAGAACGTCTCTCCAGGAGGTTTAATACTGAGAGAAAAACAGGATTATATGTGTGTGTATTAAAGCACACATGTGATGCATTATTTGTTTTGGTATTGGCCTTTAAAGGCACATTTTTGAGCAGAAATGTTCAGTCTGATATTGATTTATGAACAGTCTCAACCAGTGACAGAACAATCCTGGGAAAATTCAAACCACATACTTTATTCTCTGAGGTTCAGAGGATTTTTTTTTACAGAGGATTATTGAAACAAGTGTGAATGAAGTTAGATACAACTCCAGGTGTTTTTAATGAGGCAACACTGTTATTCATGGAAAGTCCTGATGCCACATCAAAAAACATCACATCACTGAAAAGGAAAAGGGGCAAACCTTTAAAGGTTGTATAGAGGATTTTCCAAGGAACGAGAAATCCAGCGACTGTTTGTCCTTTGTCAAATGTTGCGCATGCGTGAAACCACCCCCCCTCCCCTACAGCTCCTACGTAGAAACGCCTTCTCCCGCCTTCTCTTTATGCCAGAAACAGGTTTGTTTACAGCCGGTGAGCTGCACATGACTTGTAAACAACTAACTACAGTGTTGGTTAGGCAAGACGGAGAAGTGAGGAGCGGGGGGAGCGGGTGTGCGGACATTTCGTTCGCGGACGAGAAGTGAGGAGCAGGGAGAAGAGCGGAGCAGGGAGAGAGGAGAGAGGAGAGAAGAGAGGAGAGGGGAGCGGTGCGCAGAGATTCCGTGCCCGGAGAAGTGAGGAGCAGGGGGAAGAGCGGAACGGGCAGCGGGGACAGGAGCAGGAAAGGGGTGCAGAGAAGGGTGTACGGAGATTCAGTGCGAATGAACTAGCTACAACACGCAGCAGCAAGCGGACTCTTTCTTTGCCTTGAAAATTACGTTTTCAGACATAGGATATCACTTTCGTGTCCTGAAAAACGTTTGTCTCTCTCTTGGAAATAAAGTATAAGCAGAAGTTTCCTGTCCAGGACTAATTTGTGGACCAGTGCGTCAGTCTTTAGACCCTTCGTCTGCTTCAGTCGCACCATCGCTGGAATGAATCTTCAAGAATCACCTTAGTTTGGCTTCGCTGCTTTTCCCCTTGTCTTCTTCTTTCAGCGACCTCAAAAACGGACTTTCTTTTGCGGCTAACTGCTCCTGGATTCTTGTCGCCATTGCAACAAACTTTGTGCTAACTGCGAGGAAGATATAGGTCAAAAAAGCCGCTAAGAACTGTTGCGTTGGTGGAGTAAACAGCGTCTGTGCGTCTTGCGTCTGTGGACTGCGTGACAGGCGTACGTAAACCACGTACCGGCGGCGCGCAGGCAAGTCAGTTACGCTAGAAACGTAGGGAGATTGATTGACAGCCTGTCAGCTCACAGATAACGAGGCAGTGTCGTTATCTATTGGCAAATGTTTAGCCCCACCACGTCCAGAGTTGATGAATTTTTATTCTCTTTTTTTGGTCATCATAATTACAAGGCTACTGCACCTCTATAATGCTATCATTGACAACTTGAAACAAAAAAAACAAAAAAAAAATCCTCCATACAACCTTTAAGAAGAAGAAGTTTTAGGTTTTGACCTTTAACCTGCTGCCTGGAGAGTCGCTGACACTGTTTAAAAAAGCTTGCCAAAACTAACTTCTGCAGACATTTATATCTGCCTCATCCAGAGCTCCCTCTGTATCCAGACAATTCCTGACATTTTGGTCATTTAGAAATTTGACCAGGGAATTTCTTTGTCTTAGTTTTGCCCAAAGGCTAAACCGTCTAACCAGAAATTCATTTAATTCAGTGAGGCCTGTGTTTTGGGGTTTCCTCGTAACCAAATGAACTTTAATAAAATATTTGGCTATGTTATTGGACTCTTATAATGTTTTAGCTTTGAAAGTGAAGTGAAACAAGTGTTCACTGCACAGTCTGGAGAGAAGTGTAGGAGACCACTGATCCTGGTGGAGGAAACCCATCTCTGGTGACAAACACGGTCCTTGAGGATATTACAGAAAAATAATATTTTCTTTTGAGACTTGTTGTTGGTGCAGCCCACAGCGCGACAAGCAGACGGAAAAAACACTTCAGTCTTTAGATGGCAGCACCAACGATGTGACGTCGCTTTAGACCCATGAATTACACAGTTAAAAGCTCAAAAATCCATTCAGCATAACAGTGTTTTTTGAGTCGATGTTTTAGGCCTGTGTCATGTTCTTACAGGCCTGTACCTTCTGTGGGTCAAAGAGTCAAAAAGCCCAGCCCCTCTGCCCCCGGTCTTCACCTCTCCTCTCCTTTCTTTATGAGCCTATTCCTAGTCTGGCCAGTAGATGGCGCCAAAGATACAGGTAAGTCACAAGTGTCTGCTGCACTTGTTTAATTTGGCCCAAACCCAGGAACACAAAGGGAAAACACAGAGACACCTGTGAGTAAATCTACCTGTAAAATTAGTTTTTAAGTGCAAATGTGAAGTGAAAATGACACAACAGTGTCAAAATAGTTTAAACAAATAGTATAAAATACTAACATAAATGTAAAATGTAAATTAAATTTCATTATTTCTTATTATTTACTTTAAAGGTTTTTGACCTGCTGCTGCTTAAATAAAAGTCTTGAACCTGAGTTGAACCTTGTTCCTGTTTTTCCAGGTTTTCAAGTTGGACCTGCATTCCTCAACTAAGGACTTGACAAACAGTACAGGTCCCTGGTTGAAGAGTACCTTGTGTAGGTCCCTCGTTGAAGCAGAACTGCTCGACGGCTCCGTACACGGGGTAGGGGTTGGAGGCGTTCCTCGCAGCCTCCTCGGAGAGAGTCCTGTTGTCCCACTGTGAAACATACACACACATGTTCACACTGGACCAGAGCAGGAGCTCAGTCAGGTCCTGGTTCAGTCTTATTTCAGTCCTGCTTCAGTCCTGCTTCAGTACCGTCTTCATGATGGCTGCAGAGGTCAGGGCTCCCCACGTGTCGCTCAGGGAGAACTCTGGGGTCTCGGCTTTGTCTTGGAGCCAGGACAGGATCTTCTCCGAATCCACAGAGTGAGGTGTGAGCAGGGAGGACCTGTAAGAGTCTAGAGACCTGCTCCACTGAGGGTCCTCGTACAGAGACGCCATGGACCTAAACACACAAGGAACTGATCACCACCAAAACAGATTTACAGTTGTTTTTAAAGGTTGAATGGAAGATTTTTTTTTTTTAGTTTCAAATTGTCAGTGAAAGTTTAAAATAACCATGAGACACAGGAGCCTTGTAATTATGATGACCAAAAAAAAAATGAAAATGAGAATCTATCAACTGTGGACATAGTGAGGCCAGATAAACATCAGCCAATAGATAACGAGGCTCCCTCATTTTCTATTGGCTGTTAGGTTATCAATCAAACTCCCTAGGTTTCTAGTGTAACTGACTCGCTGGCGCGCGGGGATTATGTGATTTATGCAGCGGTTCTTAGACTTATGCAGACTTAGGAAAGTCCGTTTTTGAGGTCGCTGAAAGAAGAAGTCAAACTGAGGTGATTCTTGGAGATCTCTTCCAGTGACTGCGCAAATGAAGCAAACAAAGGGTCTAAACACTGACGCTTCGGTCGCTAAATTATTTCTAGACAGGTCACTTCAACAGTAATTCTGAACGTGCACTGGCTGTAAACAGGTGATTTCTAGAGTAAAGAGGCGGGAGGAGGTGTTTCTACTGAGGGAGCTGTGGAAGAGGAAGGTGGTGTCACGCAGGCACAACATTTGAAAAAGGACTGTTCGCTTTCCTTAAAAAATCCTCTATACAACCTTTAAGGGCCCATATTAGGCTATTTTCTGATCCAAGTATGTTATAATGTAGTTTCCTCATCACAAACACACCTGGAGTTGTTTTGTTTCATTCACACAAGTTTAACACACAAACCTGAGAGTCAATTCTGCCTAGTATAGGACCTTTAAACTTGAATCAGCAAAACATTGACACACACTTCACCTTTAGCACTAATGAACTCACACAATGAGTGAGTATACATGCACATCAATAACCCGGTTATTAGCCATATCCCGGTTATGTCAGTATTCGGGTTACTGCGTTTACATGTGCACTGAGAAACCGGGATACTCATATCCGCGTGTACATGATCAAATGAAGTATCCCGGTTTCTTGACATAATCTTACAAATGCGCAGGCACAAAAATTAACTTAAATCAATTTCATAAAGCAGGAAAAATACAAACCATAGCATAAACTGTTAGCGGCGATAAAAACAACTCGCTCCTTGCGCCGCTGATGCGATCAGTTTCTTTTGGACTAAATGACACGACTCTGTGGATTATGTGTGTTATTTCTGTGACAGAAGAGGCGCTAATGATGGTAAGTGTGTTCCGTGTATATAGAGTATAGGAGATAGTTCATGTTTTAGCTTTTCAGCGTCACACGAGTGCAGGTCGTACGAGTGCAGATTGTACATGTGCAGGTTTAGCACAGCTCTTTATTTTACAGTCATTTCACTCGTTTGGTCACTTTATTTATGTTGGTCAATTTATTTATGTTGCTACTGTTGTGGTGAAAGGCTGGAAAGTGTCTTTTGGACGCATGCGACTCAACTTTATGTTGCAGTAACCGGGGTACTGCGTGTACATGCCACAAGTAACCCGGTTATTATCGGAATAAACCAGCTACAGTAACCCGGTTACTGCGTATACATGCACCATCAAGAAACCGGGATACTCAAAAAACCCGATCATAACCGGGTTATTGATGTGCATGTATACGCACTCATTGAAAACATGAGCGTGGGGTCCACCTCCGATTCCGACATCCTTTCATTACAATATGCCTCTATTTAGATGTGTCTGATTTCCAACACTTTTTTAGTAGTGCTGGGCAAATGAGTCGGAGCTCCGGAGCACGTCTCGTTGTTTCTGAAACAAATTGCTCCGGAGCACTGCCTCGGAGCTCGACTCGCAGCAGCCGCTCACGTGACCAAAGCGCTGAAGTGTCGGTCCCTCCCCCTACTGCTTCGATCTGCGTGTCGATCGCTTCAGTGTATCGAAGCGTTTCATTGGCTCGGCAAATGTTCCGCTCTGCGATTGGTTCAGAGTGCTTCAGAGTGTTCAGCGCACTTCCGTGGTTTGACAAGCACTAAACTGCTACAGTATAAAAGATGCACCAATATTTCTTGGGTATTATTTCTTCTGTTGGGTAGTGAGGAGTGTTGTGTGATGTCAGTGGTGATTTTGGTGACTTTTGGCGACTTTTGGCATTTGTTTCATTTTCGATGTGGAAAAAAGTGATCCATGGTTTGGGATCACTTTGATCTAATTCCACCCAACAAGGTAACACCTACTTTCTTATTTACAGCTGCTATTAATGTTGCTCTTTACATATTATTTTAAATCATCATTATTGTTGTTGTTAGGTACGGTGTCGCTCTGCACACAAGTGTTGTCTTACACTAACAATACTTCATCGATGCTGAGACACCTGCGTGCCAATGGTTAAATTTGTCCACTAGAGGTCAGTGTTTCTTCAAGGCCTCAGACACGTCCAACCATTTGAGACAATATTGCGACTGAGGTGTCAATGCTTCACGAGGCTCCATTTGCCCATCACTACTTTTTAGTACTGGGCTGCGAAAGTGTGATTTTATTTGCCGGGCTGGTGCCACCGAGTGCCTCCGCTCAATTTAATTTCTCTCCTGCGACTAGATCAGGAATCAGAATACACTAGATGATTTGCAAAAACCCCGGAACTTGTAGACAGCGCACCGGCTAGTCAGAGAAGAGCCGCGAAGCCATGACGTCAAACTGAAGCGTCTGTCTGGGTCCATTTTGTGGAACAGCACAACGGTAAACAAAGCGTCGAGATGGATGTAGACGAAGACAGACATTCTGTGTTGGCAACGATTCCCGAGATCGAGGATTTAAAGACGGAACAAAGAAAATGTTTGGCGAATTTTATCGAGGAGAAAGACGTTATTGTCCTTCTTCCTACAGGATTTGGGAAAAACTTAATATACCAGTTAATCCCATTAGTGGCGCTTTACATACGTCATGACCAACAGCAGTGATTGGTTAAAATAAAAAAGTACCCGCCTACCGTCAAGCGAATGAATCCTAATGCTTCGAGGTCAGACGGTTTCCACAAAGTGAAACCGGCTGATGAATCAGACTATCATCTCATTGAGCTGGCACAATGAACTTGATTGTTTGTTTTTTTTATTTAGGCTGTATGTTGTTCTCCACAGATCGCCTTCATGACGAAAAGAATGAAGCACAAAGGCCCATGCAGCCTCCGTTTTAAATTAGATATTTTTCCGAAGGCACTATGCTCTTTTTTAAAATGCATGACTGTTTCCCACAGCAATCAGTTTGGACATTTTCCTGTCGCAAAGTATAATAGGCCATCACATTACTATTATTCATGCTGGAAAAGCAGACTGTTTAAAAAATAATAAAGTGCTGCTACTCCGACAATGAAAAAAAAAAGTCGAAGTAGTGCTACGCTTGAAAAATAATGTTTATGCTGCATCTCCGACACTTAGACGTCAAAGTCTGGCTCTGGACTTTGAAGACAAAACTGTGCAGATTTACTAACTTAAAATTATATTTGCTCACCTACATTTTCAGTCTACAAACCCAAAATAAAGAAAACTAGAACTATAGACTGTATAAAGAGGTAGACCAAGTGACCCGCAGCTTTCGGCTCCAGTCAAATAAAGCTCATCGAGGTTTGTGGTTACATTATATATACAGTCTATGGCCGGAAGTGTCTTGCCCATGGACACAAGAGCAGCTGGGGAGCTCTTCTGTGTGTATAGGTGAATTACCATGTGGAGCCAGACACTCCTGACAGGTACAGCACCGGGTCCAGCAGCCCATCCCGGGACATCTGAGTGAGGGAGCCGATCAGACCGACCGCGGCCCTCTGCCCCCCTCCAGAGGCGAGTAAGGCAACGTGCGGCACCTCGTCCTGGACACAGAGTAAACGGGTTAAAATATTAAAGGTATTTAACTTTTATGGAGTATTAACTCTAACACGTCACATATTTAGATTAGGGGTGTCAAATTATCGCATTAAATTTCGATTAATTAATTACAGTCATATTTAGCGCATTGTTTTTTAATCATGTTAATCTTATTTTTAATCTCTAACTTTACTGTTTCTGTATGGGAGTTGCCTTATTATAAAATCTGTTTTTATGAGTTGTTAGGACACAGTCCTGCTCCGCTCGCTCCCGCAAAGAACTGTAGCCTAATTTTCATTCCCGTTCTCACCGCATCTGTGATAAACCTGCACACATCTGATCTCTGAAAACATGACACAGACACTGAACAGACTCACCAATCACCATCATCATCCCTCTGTCACAGAGAGAACATCTATATTCCACTGAGTTGTGTCCTTTAGTAGAAGCTGAACCACATCAGCGACACAAGAGCATTTTTTTTTTTTTTTCTCCGCTTAGTTTATGCAAGTGAGCCATGCGGTTTTAAGTTTTGTTTCTGTAAGACTTGCGCAAAGTTGCATTAAACACATTATAATGTCAAACGGGCTGATGTGGCTCTAGAGTGGTGATGGTTTATATGTTGTAAAGATGAGTTTATTTATGCAGATTAGTAATAATAATAATGAATTCAAATGAAAATACCTCAAGTTGAAGCTTTTCTCAGCAATTTTTAGGTGAGATTAAAAAAGAGATTAATTAGATGAATTAATTACAGGTAATAATTAATTAATCTCTCAATTTTTTAAATCGCTTGACAGCACAAATTTAGATCACCACATTCCTTTTATTGTTTTGAAAATGACATATTTGCCAAAAATAATATAGCAACATGTTTTATAAGATTCACTTTTGTTTTTGACACTTAGCTTCCCCTTCCTCTGCTCCCCCACTCCCCCTTCAGAGCACTATCACAACACAATCAGTGTACATCCCACTAATGAAGCTACTGCACATCGCATCAGGTTTGTTGAGCTGCTGTGTACAGTTTTGCATCATGTTTTGTATATTTATGGAGAATTGTCATGTGGGAGCGTGGGATTGACGTAGGCCACTGAAAATTATTCTATGCACAGTAAAAAATACATAGTAATAAAACATTTACAGTTAAACACACAGGACGTTATGGCCTCTGTATAAGTTTATATTTATGTAACGTGTGTATTAAAAGTGCAGTACCGTGGTGCAGTTCAGTCCCAGATCATGAAGGGCCTGAGCAGACACCTCCTTCCTCTGCTGGATGTACTCGTGCTCCCCCGCAGACAGAGATGGACCACGCCGCACTGACCTCTGAACACAAACAATACAAACAAGACAGGAATAATAATGTGAGAATAATATATACCTGTATATATTATATATATTACATATCCTCCTGCGACCAGCCCATTCATTTATGTCCTTTATAGTGGACACTGAGTTAACCAGTCGATCTTTAAAGTGTTTTGAGATGGACTCTTAATGGGGGGATCAGGTTTCTCTGCCTAAAAAGGGCTGGGGGATTATAGGTACACTCATGTCCAGGATACAAAATGAACTCAACAGGAGATAGTTTTGTGTCTGCACTATTAAATTATAAAGGAGTTTAAAAACTTTATAATTTTAATAATGATTAATAATCATTGGCACCGAGGTGGTGGAGAGGGTGAGCAGTTTCAAATTCCTGGGGGTAACTGTGACTGAGGACCTGTCCTGGGGCAATCACATCACCTCAGCCGTACGGAAGGCCCAACAGCGCCTTTACTACCTGAGGACATTGAGGAGTGCCCACATTCCCAGACCTCTGATGTTGAACTTTTACAGCTGTGCCATCAGCAGCGCTCTGACGTATGGATTTTTAGTGTGGTTCTCCAGCTGCACTCAGGCTGACCAGCAGGCGCTCCAGCAGGTGGTGAAAGCAGCCGGTAGAATCATTGGAACGACTCTGCCAGAAATCAGCACCATCTACTCCACTCGCTGTCTGAGAAGAGTGCACAACATCCTGCGGGACCAACATCACCCTGCGCACCACCTTTTTCACCTGCTGCCCTCAGGGAGAAGGTCCAGGTCCATACGGGCCAGAACATCCAGACTGGCCAAGAGTCTGTATCCACAGGCTGTGAGGCTCCTGAACTCTGCCCCTCTCCCCCCTTGGCCCCTCTCTGCCCCCCACTCACGGACAAAAACCACATCCAACTCTTAAATAACACTGAACTGGTTGCACTGTTGCATTTTTTGTCATGATTCTCAGGTCTCTGTCTGAATGTCCCTGCCTTGGTACGTTACTTGACACGCCCTCATCATGCTGCTATAAGAACCGTCTCATGTTGTACTGAGGCCACACTGGGTCAATGTTTACACTTGGGTTTAAGGGGTATTTATTATTTATGGGTTTGCACTTTATGGGATGCTCCAAACGCAATTTCGTTGTTCTTCTGTGACAATGACTAGAAGTTGAAATAAACAATAAACAATAAACAATTTACAAACAGTCAGGAGCACTCATAGGAAAAAGAAAATCTACTGTTTTAGAATATTATTCTACTATTATTCTACTCTAATAACATGACAAAAAAATTTTAATTCCTTCATGATTGTGAGTTATATATTTTCTTTGCAGGGTGTGAATCAAAAGGACAAACATACAAATCATCACAAGTTGTTATTTTTTTAACCTCTTGGACCTTCTCTCCTGTATGTTCTTCATCATGTCTCTGATGGTCCCTTAAGGTCAATATTTATCAGAGTTTTACATCAGTTCAGTGACAGTTTATGGGGAAAGAAAATCTGAGAAAGGAACAAAGAAAAAGGGAACAAAAATACAGGAAGCAGCGGTAACTTCCAAAACCACACGCCTCAAACGATGTCACTACAGAAAATTCCATCCAAAATGCAGAGAATTTTTATGCACAAGGAAGATTTTTTTTTACAGTTATTAACATTCTTTTAACAAAATGAAGGTGTTGATCTTTATGTATTTTGATTAGTCTAATGTATTTTGTAATTTAGACACATTTTTGCACTTGTTAACATAAGTTTTCTAACAGTTACGTAGTTATCTCTGTTATATCTGTTGCCCGTGTCCAAACAGGAAGTCAAGTTATTCACCAGTTGTTAACTGTTAACTGTGTTTTAGTGAAATCTGTCTTTTGCACTTTAAAGGTCTTATATTATTATTATATTTAGTTTCTTGTGAACTTTAAGTCATGTTATAATGTTGTTACCTCCTCAAAAACAGACGTGGAGTTGTGTTTTGTTTCATTCACACATGTCTGAGTGATCCCCCGTAGGATTTTGCCTCTCCTTACTTTTTTCTTTAGTAGTTACTTATCTGATCATTATTTCTCATGTCATTTACTTTTATTATATATTGCTACATATTCACTTTATTTTAAGGTATTTTAAGGAATGTTTTGGTGGATAACGACTTGATATTTTGTGTAAATATTGTTAAAATTGGATATGCACAGCAATCTTGTCACTTTTTATACTGTATTTCACATTGTTATGGTTTTTAGTTTCTATGTTCAGATAATCCTTAATCATAATGTCAATTTAGGCCAGTGGTGCTCACACTTTTTCAGCGTGCGAGCTACTTACAAAATGACCAAGTCATAATGATGTACCTAATACAAAGCCAAGCAAACTGCACTGAAACACTCTGTGCCCCTTTTTTGGACCCTCACCCACAGTTTGAGAACCTCTTCTTTAAGAGAACTTTCTCTGGCACTTTACACAAAACTGTGAAAAAAGTGAAGGAAGATTTTTAAACCTGTTTTTTAAACCTGGTTTTGCTGTGATATTTACCAGCCTCTGCACATTTACCAAACCAAACGCACATCGTGACAAACACAGATGCATTTGTCACTTTTGTTAAACAAACTTCAGCCAAATGTGGCAGTAGGTCTGTTCTGTAGATCCGCTCTATGCTGTAGACCTGCTTTGTGCCAACACTGGAACACAAATTTAGACTCATTTTTGCTTCACGTTTGGTCTTGCTCTTCTAATCAGCCGCACTGTGGGAGGGGCTTGTGTTCGCTGTACGCAGGAAGGAGCGAGAGCGTGAAAAGGCGAGGGGCGGCGTGCTGACGTGAGGCAGATGGACAGGTAGGATGTTTAGGAAGTTGAACCTGCCCTGTGATGCACGCTGGTACACGAGGGCACACGCTGTCGCAGACGAGCCGTGCATAGGGAGCGTGTGTGTTTGTGATGCGCCGTAGAGTCTCCGCGGGTTTCAAATGAGCGCACAGGCTGCACTGAGACGCCCCACACGCTCCTGCACCCGCTACAAGTTTATTACCAACAGCAGCGGCCGGAATGAAATATGATCACACTTGTTGAGTGTCAGACCTCGAGTGAGAGACAAGACCGAGTCCAAACGCGAGTCCGAGACGAGACACGGCGATCTACCCACACGACCTTGGCGATCGACTGGTAGATCGCGATCGACGTATTGGGCACCCCTGATTTAGGCAATGGTTTGTAAGAATAACAATCTTGAATTTAGTCATGTTGTGTTATAACATATTGGGGGGCAGATTACTATAGTCATAGGATTTTGACCTTTTTTATATATAATTGATCATTGTCAATATTCAACTCATATTACTTCTTACTTTACATCATCATAACTATAATAAACATATTGGGGGGCAGATTACTATAGCCATATGTATCTCCTATTTAACTACTCAACTGATCACCTCTGTCTATTTTAATAAGATTCCAAATCATTATACATCACTTTGATTACCTAACTAAGTAATAACTACTTATCTCAGTAAAATATGTGTTTAAACAAGTCATTTTTAATGTTCAAAAGTTATAATTGACATAAAAATTGCATCTGAGTTCTTCAAAAACACTTAAATATGTCAGTATGTTTTAATTTGCAGATCTAGTATTAATAGTCAAAGTTTTTCTATAGAATTCAAGTTGTTCATTAATAAAATATTGATTTTCATAGGGGGGTCAACATACTATAATAGAATATGGTATGTTGACCCCGGGGTCACCTCACTGCCTGGTCAAAATCCTATACGACACCAGTTCCCGCTCTCGTTCTGCTAGTTTTAAAGTTTTAAGTGACCCCATCATGTGTCATCGACAGAGGGTGTTGATGTGCCACCAAATTAAAAACAGCAGCATGTCACAGAGAGGAAAATAACAATCATGGATCGCATCATCGACACCAGCGAGCGTCTGTACTCATACCAAATCTGCGCCAAGATCTGCTACAACATCTGCTGTGGAGAAGGAGGCAGCGACGCCAAATCCAAAGATGACACCTCACCGGGCGAACACGGATACAGCAAATAATTGGTCTCCTTCACTGACCACTGCACAATCTAACCCTAACCATGTTCCACACTAGGGACGGGCATTCGATAAAATTTTCTTAATCGATCGTCGGAAGAATTAACGATCGATTATCAATTAGTCATTAATGTTTTTATATTAAAATTATCATCATTATTATTACTGTCTGCACTACTAATCTGCATAAATAAATTCAACTTTACGACATATAAACCGTAACGACTCTAAAGCCACATCAGCCCGTTTGACATTATAATGTGTTTAATTCAGTTTTGCTCAACTCTCACAGAAACGAAACTTAAAACCTCATAATTAATTTGCATAAACTAAGCGAAGATAAAACTACAGCTCTTGTGTCGCTGATGCGGTTCAATTTCTGTTGGATTAAAAGACATGACTCAGGTGAATACAGGTTAGTGTGACCATATTTGTGTTTGTCAAAACCAGGACACCGTACGGGGGGAGGGAGGTGGGGACTCGTCATCGACATTGAGCGACTCTCACCTGGAAAAACTTTTTCCCACTGGACACCGAGAAACATCTGTGCTGCTTTATACACTGTGCACATGGACTCACACTTGTCCCGACCGGAACGGAAAGCGTGGAATTTCTTGTACAAATCATCGTTAAATATGCATTTGTGCAGACTGACCGACTGTCTTCTGAGTGCAGAGAAAAATGAAATTCTTACTGATCAATTATCGATTAATCGACTAATCATGCCCATCCCTTTTCCACACATGTTTTCTTTGTGTGTCTGCGTCAGCAGTGATGCGGTCGCTGTATCGGACCGTTGTGGTGAAGAGGGGCCAAAAGACAAAGCTCTCGATTTAACGTCAATCTACGTTCCTCACCTCACCTGCCGTCATCAGCTCTGGGTAATGACTGAAAGGACAAGATCGTGGATACAAGCGGCTGAAATGAGTTTCCGTCGCAGGGTGTCTGGGTGCTCCCTTAGAGATCGGGTGAGGAGCTCAGTCACACGGGAGGAG